CGGCTGCTGCTCCTGTCCGTTCTCCTCTCCCCATCACCCAGCCACTCTCTCCTGCTTGTTCTCTTCCTGGCCTGTGTTGCACGTCTGCCCAGTTGTCTATTGAGATGAGCCGTGCTCTCTGCTTATGATGCTCTCTATCTTAGATGAGGCTGCTTCTCTGCAGTCCACTTTGTATGAACGTGCTCTGACTTTCCTCCAGCGGGGGAGCTGTCCAAGTTCGGCCGCGGGGATGCTTCATCACCGGCACCAGCCAATTCCCTCCCGCAGACGCAGCCGACGCAGGCGCAGCATGGCACGCAGCAGCCCTTCCTGAGCCCTGCGCTGCCGCCTGGATACAGCTACACTGGTCTGCCGTATTATGCTGGGTTGCCGAGCCTGGCTAGCCCTTTCCAGTACAGCCCAGCTGTGTTCCCGGTGAGTCCAGCTCCAGAGGAAGGCGGAGTCTCTCCTCGTTTGTCAGTTTCTAAATATCTGTAAATCACCTGGAGTGCACTTTTCCGATGGTACAGTTTGGGTTGCCAGTTACACACACACACACACACACACACACACACACACATCACGAGTTTATCCCTGCCTTAGACATACTGCCAACTGCTGTTCAGAACCAACTGGATTGGATGAGTGGTCTTCATTTTAATATTTGGTTAATATTTCTCAAGTGAAATGACCAACAAAATCATCCTCCTTGTCTCATATTGCGAATATCCAGAATTATATCCGGAATTATAGAATAGTAAAGCGCATCGGACACAGTGTGCAAGGTTTCTGTACATAATGATTTTTATCGGATGGCAGATTAAAAAATTTGTGCTCGGTGTGCAAAGGCCTTTATCCTTAAAGACACTGAATGTCTTTGTCGTGGGTCTTAGTCAGCATGAGTCTCTAACACTCCTCTCTGTCGTGGGTCTTGGTCAGCATGAGTCTCTAACACTCCTCTCTGTCGTGGGTCTTGGTCAGCATTAGTCTCTAACACTCCTCTTCCCAGGTGACCCCTGCCTCGTCCAAGCAGCACAGTGTGAACATTGGTGTCGGTGCCTCAGCCAGGTCCTTCCAGCAGCCTAGCGGCTACAGTTCCCATGGATACGGCCCAGGTAGGCAGTGCAAACACACTTGCAGCTTCTGTGAGTGTGAGGAACATATGGAACACGAGGATGAGAGATGATGTGACAAGGTCTAGAGCAGCGTTGGTGTCAGAGGAGCACAGGCTGAAAACTGCCAGCCAACCTGTGCAACTAACGAAAACCTGCTGAACGTCATGGTGAATCTGAGTTAATCCTGCGGGAGGAAATAATGTGGTCTTTCTGTTTCTTGAAGCTGTAAGCTGTATTGGGGGGAGGGGGGCTGTGTTCAGCCCCCCACCAGCTACTTGGTTCTTCTTGGCTTGCATTTCTGAGACCTTTCCTCGCCTTCTTGCTTGTTTATCTTCATTCTTATCGATCCTTCCTCCTGCCCATAGCCTGTAACGCCTTTTATGACTGACTTTCTGGGCTCTCTGTCTGTCCATGTATCCGTCTGTCTGTCCATCCCTCAGGCTGTTCATGCCTGTCTCCCTGCCTGTTTATCTGACTAACTTTGTCTGACCCTCCGAACTCCACCTGTCTGTGTCTAACCCTCGGCGCTTGGGTATATCGCCTGCCCATGTCTGACTTTTGGCACTCCACCTGTGTGTCTGACCCTCAGCGTTTTGCCTGTATGACCGTCAGCCCTTTGGTGCTTCACCTGTCTGTCTAACCCTCTGCGCTTTGATACACATTCTGCCCGTGTCTGACCCTCGACGTCCCGCCTGCCCGTGTCTGACCCTCGACGTTCCGCCTGCCCGTGTCTGACCCTCGACGTTCCGCCTGCCCGTGTCTGACCCTCGACGTTCCGCCTGCCCGTGTCTGACCCTCGGTGTGCCACCTGTCTGTGTCTCACCCTCACCGCTTTGGTGCTCTGCTTGTCTCTGACCCTCGGCACTCTGTCGGTCTATGTCTGTCTCACTGTTGCAGGCTATGAGGAACTGGGACAGACTTCGGGGAGTGGGGAATTCTGTAAGGGTGGATATGGCTCTGTTGTTGCTGCAGCTGCTGCTTCTGCACAGGGCAAGCCAGCCAGTACCGTATCTGGGCCTGGAGTTGGTGAGTCCCCCGGCCCGGCTATGCTTTCCACGCCTGGCTTTGCTGCTCCATCGGTCAGGGCTAAGCTCTTAGCTTTTCCACTAATAATAGTCTGAATGTGGTGCTGAACTTCACCTTCCTGTCCCAGCCTCCAGCAGCTACTTCTGTATGCAATGAACAGCCTAGAGGCCATGCTTCTGGTGATGCCGGCAGCAACTGGGGGGGGGGGGGGGGTACTTCTTTAGCACTGACCTGAAGCATGAACGTGGGTGCCTCCACAGCCATTCTCTTTGAAATTGAGTTATTCAGAGTCTCAGGTTCTGCACGTTTAGCATTTGTGGCATTAATGGAAGGTAGCATCTGTCTCACTAGGCTGGGGCTCAACGTGCATGCATCTGTCTGGTTTATTCCAGGGTGTCGTCATGTGGAAGTCCTCTGCAGACTTGCTGTCATTATGGATCATTATATTGCTGCAGAACAGGCGGTGCATTGCTTGTAAATGGTGTCAGATAATTCAGTAGAATATCCTCATTATCAGGATGCAGCGTTGGTGTCCCTATAGCCCAGTCACCTACGTCATTATCAGGCTGCAGTGTCAGTGCCTCTATAGCCCAGTCGCCAACCTCATTATCAGACTGTAGCGTCTGTGCCTCTATAGCCCAGTCGCCAAACTTATCAGGCTGCAGTGTCGGTGCCTCTACAGCCCAGTCACTGACCTCTTTATCAGGTAGCAGTAACGATGCCTCTACAGCTCAGTCACTGGCCTCATTATCAGACTGTAACGTCTGTGCCTCTATAGCCCATTCGCCAACCTCGTTATCAGGCTGCAGTGTCAGTGTCTCTACAGCCCATTCGCCGACCTTGTTATGAGGTTTTAGCGTTGGTGCCTTTACAGCCCAGTCGCCGACTTTATCAGGTAGCAGTGTCCGTGCCTCTAGGACCCAGTTGCCTGCCTCGTTATCAGGCACTAGCATCTCTACATCCCAGTCATCAGCCTTGTTGCAGCTGCAGTATCAGTGCCACTACAGCCCAGTCACTCTTTATTAGGTAGCATCACTGGTGCCTCTACAGCTCAGTCACTGGCCTCATCAGACCGTAGCATCTGTGCCTCTGTGGCCCAGTCGCCAACCTTTTTATCAGACTGCAGTGTCAGTGCCTCTACGGCTCAGCCACCGGCCTTGTTCTATAGGCTAAAGTGTTTACAACTAACTCACCATGTTTTGCAGGAGTTTCTGTCGCATCCAGCAACACTGGGGTTCCTGACATTTCGGGCTCTGTTTACACAAAGACTCAGGTATGACTGCTCTTCTTCAAATTACCTTTGGACGCCAGCATCTGTAATCCTGAGGGACTGTGTTTTCCTCCTAGTCTTTAGAAAAGCCGGCTTTCCATGCAGCTGCAGCCGCTCCCTTCGGCCTGCCCTCTGCCTTGGGCAGCGGCGGTCCCATCAGCCCTGCCTCAGCAGCCACCTACCCCGCTGCCCCCTTCATGCATGTCCTGACCCCACATCAGCAGCCATACTCACAGATACTGCACCACCACCTGCAACAGGATGCACAGGTGAGGAAATGTCCTGCTCTGTCTGTATTTACAGTAAGAAAAACACAATTATTACATTCTTTAAGTAAAGAGGTGCTTCAGTGGTTTGACCACACATTTCACTGTTAGACTTTGGTGGTATAAACTTGTTTCTCTTTAACTAATGTTGCTATGTTCTCCAACTGTGTTTTTAACATGAAGGATAGGGACTGCCACAAACTTGACAGCTTGTCATAGGCTTGAAATTGACATCATGCTTTAAAATGCACATACGTTCCCATTGAAGCTGGCGAATGTCAGCTGGTGCTTCCTGAGAAGTGCAGTGTGCTGCATTTCATTCACTGCTCCTGTCCCACCCCCATCTCCTCGCAGGGAGCCACTGCACAGCGAACCCAGGGCTCTTCCATCCAGCAGAAGTCCCAAGGCAGCAAGTCGGCATACAACAGCTACAGCTGGGGTACAAACTAATGCCCCTATCACCTAACGTGTGACTGATATGTCCCACAAAGCCCCCACTGACTGCCCATCTCCAGCCAATAGCAGGCCCAGGTGTCACTGACAGGGAGGCCGGCACTTAAGAGTGGGGCATTCTGGGAAGGATGTCGTCATGGGGACCGCAGCTGAGCAGAGGGAGAACAGACCAGTTTAAACCAGAGGAACAACAAGTGCTCCCAGTGTGTATTGTTTTTAATCCCCCTTTCTCACAACAGTGTAAGCAATTTTTCTAAAAACAAAAAATAACAATGAAGTCTTTTTATTTTTCTAATCTGCTGGGGGAGAAACACAGAGGAGAGGAGATCCCCATTTGTCACATTTTGAGTCTTCTGGCTTTATTTCCCTTTGTATCAGTTTTTAAAGATTAAATCTGTAATTCTTAAAAAGAGTGCATATGGGACCATGCTGACATTGGTGTGTGTGTGTGTGTGTGTGTGTGTGTGTGTGTGGGACCCAGCTGACTGATGTGAGGTATCCCCCATGTTTTTTTTTTATATTTTTTGTTAACCCAACAATCTTCCATCTCTGTTACTACTAGACACCTTAAATTTGTTATTGATGATGGACTCTTGTATTTTTTTCAGTGACTTTTCTTTTGTACTGTTTCATAATAAGTCTGTTTTGTGTCTGCACACATTATTGAACCTAAATTGAGTACTGTAACCCGTTCCTCATTCTCACCCATCAATGTCCATTTGTTTCCTATTTTTTATTCTGTAAACTATATATAATTATATAAATAACAACGAAATAAACAGGAAACAGACATTTTCATCACTTGAATGTGGATCTCTTTTTAAAGGCTGCATTGTTTGCCAGTTGTCTGGCTGGATTTCTCTGAACTGTTAAACACCATAGAGAAGATGATCAAAATCAGGTTCTGGAGTTTTGGTGCAAACAAAGTTTCTTCCGGTGGTGTGAAGGTGAAAATGCTGATGATAAAAGTTGAGCCTGGAAGAGATGAAGCCTTTGACTGACCGTAATCCTGACTAAATTATTTCTCAAATCATATTTAAATTTCATTGTAGATAAAGTCTGCTGGTTAATGTAACTTTTTGAGAACCATCTTAATTCCATTATTTTACACAAAATTGTTTAGCTTAATACAATTATTAATCCTGGACTTTTTTTTATCGGAAGTGTTACCACTTATAACGATCTAAATACTCATTAGCTATTACAGCAAGCCTGTGTCACAGAAGTGCTCCTTTGCCTCCTCGCCAAGCAACACATGTCCCTCAGACAAGCACAGCATAACCTGAGGTATGGTCCATCGAAAGTGATTAAATGCCCCAAAGAGCTTGCCAAGACAACGGAGATGAGGACCATCCCTTTGGATTCAGGGAGGGGCCTCAAAGCCCAGGAGGCTCCTTGTTTTCCACTCGTACTGGTACTGAGTGGTTCAGTACACAGCTTAGGTATTTACATCTGGCTTCATGGCCATGCAGAGGAGATGATGTGTCAGAGGAAGCTGCTGATGCAGGAAGTGCATACGGTAAAAAACAAAATTAACAGATACACTGGAAAGAAATCTGCTTTATTGCTGCACTCGAACTACGTACATTATTAATTATGTCCCAAAAGTAAACTTCCCAGATTTGGTGGAGTTTAGAAAATAAGTCAAAATACTGTTAAACTGCTTCCAGAACTACAAGAGAGATCCATTGTGGATAACTTAAATGTGGTTTGTGTGTGTGTGACAGTAACAGCACAATGTAATGGAGGAACTCTGGAAGGGTATCATGCTTTCGATATGTAAACTCTATTGTCTGACAAATGTCCTTAATCATAGCTTGGGACTGGCTGTTAATGGTGAAAGGGGTGGTTAGTGCTGTTGTCTCACACCTCTGCAGACCAGGGTTTGAGTCTGTCCCGGCTCTAATTAAGTCTGGTGACTTTGCATGTTCTCCCTGTGTTGTCATGGGGTTTCAATGAATCCTGGTTCTCTGTCTTTTTTCTAAGGTGAATTTGAGTTGCCAAATTACCCAAATGTGTGAATGGGGTGTGTGTGAGCTTCGTAATGGGTTGGCGCCTCATCTTGGGCCCTGCATAGGTCAAGCGAGTATTGAAAACAAATGGATCATACGGTGGAAATGACCAGCATTGTAAAACATTAAAAAATGTATAAACCACACTTACACTTAAGTATACTCCTTTCGTTTGCACAGTCGTGGAAGATTTTCATCATATTTCTCTAAAAAAAAAGGGTTGGGGGACTAATACTACGCTATAAGCTATCTATATACCCGGATGCTACACCCTAGACCCGCAGCGCTGTTCACAAGCAGATTTAGCGAATCTTACGTAACCAAACTCATCTGACATTTTGTCCGCGCAGCCCAGCACTGGCTCGATGTACGGCAACAGCGTAACATCGTCACGTCTGTAAACAACCCTGGCTTGATGGCCTGATTAAATGTCCGATTATCTTGGAAACATAAATGAGCATATTTGATTTGTTCCGTGGTTTTTTCGGGGTTCCCGGTGGCCGCTACAGTGGATCCGGCCGAAGGTACGAATTTGTGGAAAACGCTGAACGGAGGTTTAAGGTTAATTAGCAAAGTAGCCAACATCAACGATGCGTTTAACTGACGTATAAAAAACCTTAATTGAAAAATACCCAACCACAGTTATCATCTGTTGTATTTCTGGTCTCATTTTTGATCCTGTACAGTAAAATGGAGTAGTTTCATTCCCCACTTTGCTACATTATAGCAGATGCTGAGCTAAATGGCCGATATCGGCTGTCGATGTGGGATAGTGTCTCTGACTTCAGCTGTTCGTAGTTCCTTGTTAAAATATGTTTCTGTTAAACTCGATAGATTTAGTGTATTATCAATACAAAAGGTCGAGAATTATTAGCTAAGAAGGCATGTCCGTATGACTGGAAAGCAGCTTCGCCGTGACAACGTAAGTGAAACTGAAGCTGAAACGACGACTGGATAAATTAAATGAGTTATAGTTTTATATACAATTCTTTTATTCTGTGCTAGCTATGGAAACTGACAACCTGCAATGTATAATCTATAAAACTAGCTGCCGTGTGCTAGGGTCGCGCTATGTTTCTTATGTTTAGCTTCAAAACTGCTTATTTATATGCTGTAGCTGAACTCTAAAAGTTGCCTCATTTTTAGAGAAAGGAATTAAAATACCTAATCTTGATACTGATGTACATATCAAATTACTTGCAACTAAACGTTTTAATGCTAGTTAAAATGTTGTTTACAACTCTCATTGGTTCCCAGAATGACATTAGAAACGTCCAGCTATTTATTAATCTTATGTGTCACTTACGTAGTACAGCAGGAGCAAGCCTTGGGCCTGCCCCCACACGCAGGGCACAGACAAGACCAGGCCAGGCCACTCTGACATGCTGTTTTTTTTTGTCAGGGATCCATTCTTTGATGGCTTGACCCATGATGATGATGAGGATGATGATGAGGATGATGACTTTGGCAGTGCCTATGAGGCTAGGCAGCACGATCCCTTTGATGATGCCCTGAGGTTTGGGTTCAGTTTTGGCCCATCTGGATTTCGCATTGAGGAGCCCCAGGTGTTTGGCCAAGTCTTGCAGGAAATGGAGGAGGTCTTCTCCTTTCTGAACACATGGGATCGCCAGCCAGGCTTCCGGCATTTTGGTACTGACTCTTGCTTTCAGGCATTTCAGACTCTCTACACCTGTACTATTCACCCTGAAACTATCACACACCTTCTCACCTACCGCCCGTTTTTTTGCCATTTATTTACGTTAAGTGTCTGTCTGTTTTTATCAGGAGTTTTACCTTTGATCTATGTAACTCTATAAAATATCGACACATTTCTCTCCTTATGCATGATTTTTCTTGTCATTCATTGCTGAATTTGTATTTCTGTGGTGCAACATGGGGAAAAAGACCTACTGGAAATGTCACTTACTTGGAAATAAATGGACCATTTGTTTACACACCGTTCTTTCACCCCATCTCTCTTCTTTTATAATTTAGTAGGTTTAATGTCACCTTGACTGTGAGGGACATCATTGTCAGCTTCTTGACTCTCCATTACAGGTGTGCCTCAGATTGAGGCCCCGCCTCCCGAGGACAACATGGAGCACAGTGGCAGAGGTGGGAAGGCTGGCTCCCTTAGAGACTTTATGCTGAAATCCCCTGACCAACCTGCAGCTCCGCCCACCGACCCGCCCCCTTCACGCCATTGGATGCCCTTCTCCAAGGTGCATCATGCTATGATTTTGGACACTTATGGAAATCCGTGCCATGTGCCAGTGTGACCTCTGCCCTTTACTTTCCCATCTTGACTTTTTCTTCTCCCTGCTCTGACCCTCCTGGCTTGACAGTTTAATGACCGGTGGAGTAGAAGACTAAAGAAAGAAGAGGAAACGGATGCAGTCCGGGAAGACAGAGGTAGATAGTAATCAGTAGCTTGAATCCTCCATGACTTCTGTTGAGTAATAAGTCACCACTCTCACAGAGCTGAATCATGGGCTGAGCAACATCAGCAAATCTATATTCCAAATGTTTTCATTTCCGTTTTCAGTACACAGCCAAATCAGACCGTTTAACTATAGTCCAGTTCATTCTGACCTGTTTGTGGGACTGCATCCTCTCTCAGCTGAGGTGGAATGAGTCCTGTGTCGATCACTGTGGCAGTAATTGGGTGTGGTTATTAGGGCTTGGAGGTTGAGCTTCGTTATTTTCTTTAAGTTTAAAAATATTTATGTATTCAACGGCAGACACTCACATTCAGGTTTTTGAAGATTTATATAGGCGACCATTAAGTCATCTAATATATGTTTCTCCTCATTTTTGTTTTGCCTAATGCCCCTTGTCACCTGTAGAATACAGGATCTGCCATGGGGGCATGTAAATCAGAAGAATGTGGCAATGCAGTCAAAGGCTGGTCACAATTAATTTAATCATGTTCATCAAAACCTGCGTTTAACAAAACCGTGAGAGAACTGTTTTGCTCTACATTACATGTATGTGTGTGAGGGATTTTTGACTGTTAGGGTTTTGCTTTTGACTGTATGTATATTAGGGATTTTGGCTTCCAATGATTATCAAAATAAGATAAAGTGTTTATTGTGCCACATTTGTCATGATGATGCTCCTGTTTTGTTATAGAGGCAGAGGACCCCTTTCCTGGAATCGCTTGTTCTCTTTGGGGTTGCAGGGGTCTGATCTGGGATCAGCCCTAAAGCACCTGTTCACACGCACACATGTGATTGTGGTCCCCTTGTGTGTGTGTGAGAGAGAGAACACACATGTCATCATGAGGTTTCTTCCAGGTACCCCCAGCTGTGTGTGTGACTGACACCCACCAGGGGAGACTTGAACCCAGGTCCCTGAGGTGTGAGGCAGTGGTTAGCACTGCACACACAGCTGGGGGTACCTGGAGGAAACCTCATGATGACCCTTTTCCAGTTCCTATGTATTTGTTTCTTAGTTGAAGTAAATTTAGAGTTGAAGGACATCCATTATTAAAAGGACAAGTTTTTTTAAAGCGTAGTCAATGCACATTTCCAAAGTCAATGAGTAATTGTGTTAGATATTCATGATTACGGCTTTTGCCACCCTAATTTGTGCTCAAGGAGAGCATGATGGGATATGCGGACAGAACTCCGACCAGTGTACCTGTACTTGCACAAATGGCAAGTGAATCTTCATTCCATCATACCAGAAAAGCAAACGCCCTGTAGTTCCCTCTGTTAGAATTTTTGTCCTTATCGTGTCCCCAAAATGCTAGCTCCTGCTGACCCAGGAATGAAATCGCAATCACAGAACTACGCTTACTTACCCGTCTTTTATCAGAAATTGGCATTCTCTAAACACTGAAGTGCACTGTCTGACAACCATCTGCAGTGAACCAATGCGGTTAAAGGGAAATTAAGTGTAAATGTGACATAAAGCCCTTATTGTCATCCCTGTCCTGAGCCACTATCATTTCCTCGTTAGGTTTCACTATTCACTGCCATCTCTTTTCAGACTTGGACTCGCAGGTCTCCACAAAGGGTCTGGAAGAAATCTTGAGTCCCTCTCCCACTCCATCTCAGCCCACAGTCAGATCTTTCTCGCAGTCTGTTATGATCACGAAGGTTGTGACACCAGACGGGGTAGGTTGCCGGGGTCGAAGTGAACATAGCAGTGCCAATGGGGAAATGGTAGGTGTAACCATTAATGTGTGAGCGTTACATGATGCTCTCAAATCACGTGTGAATGTCAGGCGGTGGAGGAGAGGCGTACAGTGAGAGACAGCCATGGGAACGAGGAGACCACGATCACACGCTCAAGAGGTCCACAGAGTCAACAGGAGCCACCAGAGCCCGGTTAGCGTCAGCCTTCTGCTCTTTTTGCCCTAGTGGGGCAGTAGATGAGCTTTCCCTGCTGTGTTGAGCTCTCTTCTGTCACATGGTTTTTAACCTTGTTAGCAATAGTTTAAATCACTTTTTGTGTCCCTTCTTTGTAAGCATTAGCCTCATTGACCGCACTGGACCATGTATTTCTGCTCTGTTTATGTCCCGTCTGATTTTTCTTTTAGGTGTCTTACCTCCATCAGATGGACTCGGGGATGCATCTTCCATTTTCTCCAAGTTTTTTGGGGGGTTCAGGGGCTGAATAAAAGCTGGTACCTAAATTTGTCAGTCTGCCAAAATTACTTACTTGTATGTGACTGTAATACTGGGGTGGGTAACGGTGGACTCTCAGCCCAGTAGTACACGTCTGTTGTATAAAACCATTTAATTTATTTTATGAACAAAACGAACAGGGCATAAAATCATAAGAGATTATTAAATCTGCTTACTGCGGCATTAGCCTAAGTCACTGTTCAGCGAGTACGCTTTCCCTGGCACCTTTTGTGGCACGATGTAGCCAAAATGTTTCTGCTTCTGATTAGCATTAGATTCGAATAAACAAGATCATTGTAAAATATCAAATATGTGGTGTTTTTTTATAATGTGGTTTTTGTACAAGGCGGCACAGTGGTTTTCACTGTCGCCTCACACCTCTGGGATCTGGATTCACATCTTTACCTGCTTTGCATGTCTCTCCCCCATGTGGTTGTGGGGACTCACCTGGATTCTTCCGTTTCCACCACCAGCCCAAAAACACGCAAAGGTGAACTGCAGATGCCAAATTGTCTGTAGGCGTTTGTGTGGATCAGATATACATTGTGGGGTCCAAATATCCCTGCAATGTGATTACATACCTGTTTTTTTCAGGGGAAATTGAATTTAATACAAATCTGTGACTGCAATCAAAAAACTAAAAATGCCGAAAGTCTTGTCTTCTGTTTGGTTACTTACTAAGGTTAGGGCTGGATAGGGATGAAGGTTGTCATTTTTAGGATTAGTGTTTTGCTCATAGAAATGAATGGACAGTCCCCACAAATATATGAGAACAGGTTTGTGTGTGTGTGTGTGTGTGTGTGTGCGTACGGGTTTACCTATCCTTATGGGGACATAATGTCCCCATAACGTGATAAATATCCATTTTTTTTCCCCTTATGGGGACCGGTTTCCTGGTCCCCATAAGGGAAAACTCTATTTTATAAAAATCGGTGACTGCTATGAAAAAACTAAAAATGCAAAAACTCTTGTATTTTGTTAGGTTACTTATGGTTATGGTTAGGGCTGGTTAGGGGTTAAGGTTGTCATAGTTAGCGTTAGCATTTTTCCCATTGAAATGAATGAGCGGTCCCCATAAGGATATGTTTACCCTACGTGTGTGTGTGTGTGTGTTAGTGTGCCCTGTGATGGGTTGGCGCCCAATCCTGGGCTGTTCCCATAGCTTCTGGGATAGGCTCCAGACCCCCCACAACCCTGCATAGGACAAGCAGATATGGAAAATGATGGGATTATGTATAACAAGTTTTCTGTGATTAATCACATGAAAACAAATATTTGCACAAAAATTAATGTAGAATTAGCAAAGGTAGTTTGTAGCTATTGAAAAGATTAGGGGCTCAGTCAAGTTTTCTTGGGTCTTGTCTTTTTCTGAGAGACACTAGTTATCTCACCTTAAGGAGCACGAAAACACAAATTCTACGCAACATTATTATATTACATATTAAGATTACATCCACGACAAAAAAAATTCTCTCGCTTACCTCTAATAGCATATATGTATGTGTTTTTTCCCGAAGTGTGCTTTGGCAATACAGTTACGAACGGCTATGTCAATGGGCACTTTAATTTTGTCCTTAGGAACAAAAGTGGCTAACCTGATTTATCGCCAATGAAGGCTTCCACACATGGCAAACCACAAGATGCCACTGGCTGAGCATGCCTGTCGAAATTAACTAGGATACCACTAGCAGGTCAGCTAGTTCTTTCACAAGTTCCTGAGCACAGTGCTGCTCTATTCTTCTATCCTATAATTACAATCAGTGAGCAATATCTGATATCACTATATACTCTACCTTAAGGCAATTTGCACTGAACACCAAAGTAACTTCTTCCCTTGGAAAAGGAACAGAAGGTGTTCAACCTACGTGAAGTTGCTCCCCATATGTTTCAGATTTCAACCAAACTGGTCTCAATCATATGTGCCGCGTTTGTGCCGGATTGTGCCGTTAATATTTTTGTTTGTGCTGTTTTAATTTCTGAGATATAAATGTTTGTTTACATGGTGACATCATCAGTGTGAATTTGGCCCCCCATTTGTGTAATATTTGTGAGGTGCAAAACTCGACATTACACCAGAGGTAAACCTTTCCCTTGTGAACGCCAGAGTTTGCGACACCAGATAATCCATGTCAGGGAGGACACTTCAAGCTACTCCAGGTTTTACAAACTACTTTAAAACTGAAAGGCACCCATGCTTGGCTAAATAGTTCACTTCATCTTTGCTTTGACTAGTTTGATTGAAAAACTCATCCAGCTGTTACACATTAACATTAATTGCATATGCATGATTATAGGAGACTGACCAATCAGCACCCAGCAAGAACTTGGTGTTTAACTGAGATCCAGATCCTTTTAATTGAAATGGTATTTTACAAATCCTGTCCTAGCTCAATGTGTCCTCCCTGACTTGAATTACCTGGTCACCCTAGCGACACTAGTAGTGCAGGGGAGGAAGGAGGACAATATATTGTAAAAATACAGCGATACCTCAGAACTCGAATTTAATCCGTTCAGAACTCGGGATCGAATCCAAAAAAGTTCGAGTTGTGATCGATTTTTCCCTATAAGAAATAATGGAAAACCAATTAATTAGCTTTAGCAGAGTGATTTTTGGTCATTTTCCCTGTTGAAATTGTTCACGGTTCAGGTTCTAGCTGGAATGGAGGAACCAGTTAAAATTAAAGTTGGTTAATAATCTAGTGCCTTGCTGAAGATGTTCTTCTGCATTTGAAATGAAAAACAAGAAATACATATAGAGACATAAAAAACGAAGTAAACTTTATTTTCGGCATTATATAGTGTTATATAAGAAACATAAAGTACAGGCGTATAGTGGAAAACCTCAAGTCAAAATACAAAGACAAATGATCTCCTCAGAGACAAGGTAAAGATCTAATGCCTGTTTATTGTTCCAGGCCCAATCAGCAGTGAATATTGTCCTTTTTGAGGTAGAGAGTGAGCACTTCAATGCAGCACTGTCTGCATGGCCGGTTGTTTTGTATGAGGTCACGTCATCGCCGTAGGTGAATTGTTTACTGAAGGCGCCTAAATAAGCCTGGCAGCTCTCATACAGTGATGCATGGGGATCGATGCATATTCACAATGTACCATAAAGCCGTGAAATGCTAGCACAATGCTGCACCCCACCCAGCTTTTGTGGGATCAGGTATACAGGGTTTGAGACTCATCTCATTCTGCCTCTCCCACCTGTATGATACCCAGACAGTGCAGGTGGGAGGAGACAGGGAGCGACATAAACCTGCCGGATGCTGCCCGTCTCCCACAGTGTCTGACAGCCAGCAGAAGCCGGACGTCGGCTGATCACAGAGCGGTGAGTGAAGCAGACATTCATTGTTTGCTGGCAAAGTAACGTATCAATTTTTAAAGTATTAATTTTATACCACTGTTGTTAAACTACACTCAGTGAAATTAACTTAATACTAAGTAATACATAATGAAAAGAAATTATTTTCCAACAAAGTAATACATTGGGCTCAAATGAGTATATCACAAGTAATTGTAAAATTTCAGTAAAATGTACATGACAAACTGAGACAAATAGTTCTCTACAATCAGCACAGCTTTCATGTAACAGATTAAGGGAAGCGCTGTCACTCTTTTGGGCAATAGGTGCAGGTGCTCAGGATTCGCCCCCCCACCCTGAACATTGTTACATAACAGGGAAAAGCTTTAAAATATTTATTCTGCAAGAATTTGTACTGATGGTGTTGTTAAAGTTTGACATGATAAATGTTTCATTTTCGTATTTGTGTTGGTATCAAACACTACTACACTAACGAGGCATTATGCAGATTTACTTGAAAGGACAACAGGTTCTCTGTAGTAAAATGTGTTCCTGCAGATGTTCTCAGAACAAGGTGCTGGGCTCACCGCAATGTCCCTGTGTGCCGATGTGATTCCCCTTTAGGTACCAGTGGGATGCCGGAAACTGCACGGTATCTAGGCAGCTGCTAGCACAGATCACAGTGCATAGCAACGCAACCCCGTGGCAGCACTGGAAAAGAAACAGATTCATTAAAAAATAAATAAATAAATAAATAACATCACCTGATACATAGTCTGCTTACATAATCATGTTGCCATGGAGAGGCATTCCCCGACAATGTGAAATGAAAATCAACATATTAGCTTACTATTATGCCTACATATTGCATTATGAATATAATATAATATACGGCAGCTGTCACCATAATAAAATAAAATTTGCCCAGTTTTTCGTTATATGTATCTCGCTATAAACTACAGTCAACCCGTCTGCAGATAATTTGCCTGTGCTTGAATAGCCTGCTATTAGTTTTACGGTAGTAAATTTATTTATTCAAATCTTGGTATTACGGCGTAATATGTCTTTCTTGAAAATGTTTTTCTGTGTTTCACAAGTAGCCACACAAAGTTTCCTCTTATTCTACGGTGGAATTTAGGGTTTAAGCTAAGGAGCAGCTTCTTCCCCGCAGCTGTCAATGTGCTCTAAAGTAGCTTACACTGGTGGCCATTACGCTTTCAAAATTACTACACAAATACTGGTGGTAATGTTTATAAACAATCAGAGAATGCTTACGAATATCATTTATTGGATGATTACATAAGTAACTGGAGTAACTGGAACAAAGCTCTGCAATCTTTAAAAATGAGAAGTGTTTCCACAATCTTGACCACTAGTGTATTTGTAGTGCTGATTCTCTGGCCCACGCCCTCCACACACAATCTGGCAGCTTAACTGAGCACTATTTTGTTTGCACTGATCCCTTGTTTGTTTGCACTTACCGCTCATTCTGCACATATCATAGCATCTTGACATATTTCCTGCACAATCATCAAATCAATCACTGTCAGTGTATGGACCCCTGCCATACATTGCCAGTGAGATCCCCTTTCCGCCTGAAAAACTAACCTTACTTAAACGGACCAGGACGTGTCATCGAAAACATTTCACCTATGTAATTGTCCCTATTCTCACAGATTTTTTTTTTTAATTTAACTTTTTAAATCTAATACTGAAAAAATGACTCTATAACCAATGCAATCACTATCCACACATGGTTTCGCAGAAACTGTTAAGCAAACCGATATACTTCTGTAAAATTTCCACTTTATATTGTTGCAAATGAACACACTGATATTGCACTCTGTCCTACCAACAGCAACTCAGGAATAAGAGGAAGCCGCCATGCTTATCTGGGTGGCGACTGTCACCGTGCTCCACCTGCTGGTCCATGGACTCGCGGGTGAATATCCACGCTCTCTGTGTGCCTCCAGTCTGCTGATATTACAAAAAATGCACCATCCTTGATCATTTTATTTCTGAGATAAATACTGCATTGTTAGGAAAATTACTATTATAAAGTTAAATCTACTAGAGAATAAGCATTTCTAAACAGATTTCAGATTTATTACTGTGGTGGTATTTCAATGTCTGTCTGATACTGCCTCTGGCTCCTCATATAGTCGGTGATTCTTTGCCTTTTGCTCAGTGCTTCCACAGGAACCTGCACCGTCACACATGGTCGCCAATAACGAGTCCCGGCTGCCCTTTCCTCCACTGCCCTCGGACTTCAAAGACAAAGCCAGGAAACTGGTAACCCTCACTGCACCACTGCAGCTTCACACATCACTGAGCAGCACCTGGACCCAGACTTACCTCCCTTTTCTATCCTAACAGATGAACAAGTGCCTCCCAATGGGTAAGATCCATTTCTAATTCTTCCTCTGCCCTTGGCACAAGTCCCCAGGCTAAGTGCTTCGTAAGGGCATCGCAAGCTGACCTGTAGAATTTTGTCGTCCATTTCACTCTGTATCTGTCTGGCTGCAGGACATCCCCCGCTCACCATGATGGACAACATGAGCAGGTGATCCTGCCTCTCACCAGTTACCTGTGTGCATGTGTTTTCATCTACACATTTATTCATGAGCTTTTGCACCTCATGGAGCAAAATGTGTGTCTTTCCCTGGTTTTGTCTCTCAGTCCATTGGTGCAGAAAGGCTCAGGGTCCAGTCCATTCTCCCTGTTCCTCCCCTTGCTCTCCTCCTTGCCTCCACCACTGAGGTCTGAGTCACATATGAATCAGTTTAACGCTACAGGAGACATGCCCTCAAGACCCATGAACTGGGTAAGCCCACCTAGGCCGCAGACATTGCGAAAACTCATGATATGAATGAGTGGGTGAATTTCAGCAGAGCTGGCAGATGTTCTTGTGTGCAGTCTGTCCCTCACATCTCTTCCTTTTACTGGCTGGGTGGGAAGAACATCACAGAAAGGCTGATGAACTGCTCCTGCTTACTGCAGGCGGTTGAGATCTTGAAGAACGCATCGGTGAGTTCTGCCGCTCCATGAATGAGGTGCAGCTGCACAGCCTCGCCATCTGCTGTCCAGTATCCCTCTGCTGTTCTGAGGTTCTGCCATCTCTCTGCTCCGTCTCTCTATCTATCTCTGCCCCTCATCAGGATGCACATCGCTGTCTCCTGCGAGCCTTTGTGGCCCCTCTGGCCTGGGAGGCCCTGGTGAATGGATCTGGTTTTAAAGCTCAGGAACGGGACCTGCTTCTCTGGGCATCCAAGGTTCTCCTCCAGGAGGTACCGCTACCCAGCTCAGCCTTGCCTGCAGAGCTGGATCACCAGCAGCTATCAGACATGTAAGCTGTACCTCCTTACTGGGGCTTGATAACACTCTCGAATGCCGTACATTTCAGAAGCTGATCCGAGTTAGAGAAACTGCAACATGCTGCAACATCAATGACAGTACAGGATATTTACATGGAGTGGTACAATACTAATGCATAATAAGTTTACATAAAACTGTTTGCTAGGGCTCACCATCACCAGTCACCAGTCTGCACACCAGACAGTCAGGGTTTGAGAGAGATAAATGATGTAATGATGCTACATACCCTTGTCAACCACCTTGGGACAAATCTCTGGTGAAGGGCACTAAATAACAAGGAAATTGAGTTAAGATTAGCAGGTCTGTCTCCTCAGGATGGGTGTGTTCAATGACATGTTTGAGTCGATATCCATGGATCAAAAAGTCAAGATCATGAACTGGGCCAAACAGCAAATCAGTCAGAACTGCAGGGTCCCACTGCCTTCTGGACCTAGACCAGCAGGTCAGCAGAAAGCCAGAGGTCTGGCATATGAATTTAGTTGACTAATAACAAATACGTCCATAACATGAAAATGCATTAAGTAATTATAGAATCATTGTGGCCAGTCTCACCAGTAGCCGGCACCACAGACCTCTGTCTGCCTGGCACGTGGCTCTCAGCACAGGTCATGCACATCCTGCGTCGCTTCCTTACCCTGCTGCCACCCTCGGAGTTTAAAAGCGTCCCTAAAGAGCAGGTATGACGCTCTTTCTCAGTATGGAGCTCTGGGTAGTGTTCACAATCAGAGTGTACTGCTATGCTAACATGCGCCTCTCTGTGCCTCTTCATCCCAGCTCTGCCCATTTGTCCAGTCCGACCAGTTTCAAGTCTCTTTCCGCAAACTGGGTGACGATGGTTCCACCCTTGGAAAGACTTTGCTCAGCAGAGTAAAGCAGGACTGTTTCTCTAAGCAGCAGGAGTTCCTCCAGAACCTTGATAAGTGTGTGTTTGACTCTGAATGGGAGTCACTAATGATTACATCACTTCCTGTCACAGTATGCAGCTTCTAAAGCAGCTCTGTGCGGACAGTACTGTGCACCTGTAAATGCAGTGTGACTGGGTTGCTTGTGTCTATCTTGCATCTTTTTTTGCGTCTGTATTTATCTTTACTTGTTCGCTAGACTGGGCCCCCTGACCTGTTTCTATGGCGATGCCACGCCTCTCAATGTGTCCCTGACTGAGCTCCTGCTGCCCCAGCTTGCTGACTGCAGTAACTCCGACGCTGATAAGGTATTCCTGCACCAGCGCCCAGCCTCACCCCAGTCCAGGGTCTTGGCTTCTCGTAGCTACATCTTCACCCATCCCTCTGCCACTCCAGCTACGGACAACGCTGGTGAAAAAGCTTGTTTCTGGGAAGGGGAACCTGAGCCCGGAGTCAGTGATGTGGCTGGGTCCGGCAGTGTCAGCGCTGCCCGCTTCCTGGCTGGCCAACCTGTCCCTCTCCATCATCCAGAGCAACCTGGCTTCGCTGGGTATGGCCAAGTGGGGGCCAGGCCAGGCCCGAGTGCTGGCCAACACCCTACTGCAGGGAGCCCAGGTGGGGGTCTCTGCCTGGGTGGCACCTCCCAGTCTCTCCCATTCCTGCTTCTTCTCTGGGTCTAATCGCAATAAATAATACACGTTTCCCTCTCCTATTCCATTGCAGTCAGTGTCCAATAGCGACTTGCTGTCTCTGGGATCGGTGGTGCGGGGGGTACGCAGCTCCCTGCTGTGCAAGGTGGAAGCCCAGGGACTGCTAGGGTCACAAGGCCTGGGCAGACTCAGCCAGGAGCTCTCCACCCTGCAGAAGGTGGCACTACTAGATGGGGTGAGGAAGGGCGGAAGGAAAATGATTCAAAAGCGAGAGACTAGGACAGTGAGCAGGGGAGGAGGAGCAGGGGAGGGAAGAGTCACAACACACAGACACACACACACACACACACACACACACACACACACAAATGCACATGTAGGGTAAACATATCCTTATGGGGACCGCTCATTCATTTCAATGGGAAAAATGCTAACGCTAACTATGACAACCTTAACCCCTA